CTGAGAAACGAGGGGACTATCTGTATACGGTCAAAATAGATTTCGGCCTTAGCACGTCCGATCAAGTTCGAACGATGATCTATAGAAGTAAGATCCCGAAGGTGGAATAAATTAACCTCGAACCCGGGGAGGCCGATCCGTGTCGAGTTCGATATCATTATCAAGCTCGAATCGAAATCGAACCATGATGCAGAGTAGATCTATCATGCTGATAATCTAGAGACCAACCAACATTGACCTCGAATCAATTCGAGGACTCGAGCCAGGATCGGGCTCGAACCTAGATCACGAGCTCGAGTCGAAATCAAGATCAAACCAAAATCGAGGGTTCTAAGCAAGATCGAGCTCGCAGACAAAAGCCGTTGCAATCCCACTAGAGAGAATCTAGGCAGAAATTGTGAAAAAGCTGACTTATCATGGGTCTCCCACTGAATGTTTATTTTATTATGCTTAGAGCTAAATCCCTCAACTATAAAAGGGCTTGGTTACCATTTCTGTAAGAAAAGTTTTTCTTAGGTTTACATTGTAATAAAAACGCTATATTCTTCTACAGTAAAGAATCGTTCTTTCAGATTTTTTAGATTGATTCTATTTGTTGAATTCTAAGATGCATTGTTCCTAACAACCTTATCTATTTCGCATTCTCTGCAATCTATATTTACCTTTCTATTTATCCTTACATTTTGTGTTAAGTTGCGCCACATATCCTCGGAACTGCGTATAAATTTAACTCTATCCATTTTTTCGGGTAAACTTATTGGTTTACTCCACTCCTTCACTGAATCACCGGTGGCCAGTGCCACTGCTTGTCACGTTAGATAGGGACGATGCGATACCGAAATCGTACCGAACCAAACAAGAAATTACCGAACCGTACCGAACTACTTTGGTACGGTATTTGGGGTTAATTTCACCCATGGTCATCCAACTTATCATTTATTTTACAAAAGTTACTTATCTATTTTTCATCACTTAAAAATCACTCAACTTTACCTTTGTAACTTAAAAGTCATTCTAGTTCAAAACCTATAAAATATCCAATAAAAAATATGACATGGCATTACATTTAATTAAAAAAATCTAACAATAATGCCACATAAGCTTAAATAAACCATATCTAAGTTAGACCCATTTCTTACTCAACCCGATTCGGTCGGTTTTTTGAATATTAGTTTTAATTTATTTATATAAAAAACGACCGATTTTGATCGGTTTCTTAAAAAATAAATTTTACGGGATTCTAAAATAGGTTGCCGCATTTTTGCGCCAAAAAAACCGACTGAAGTCGTTCGGTTTCGTAAAAAAAATTTAAAAAATAAAATATTTTGGAAAACTGACCGACTTCAATCTCACATAACATATACATGTACCACTAACAGACAAGAACAACAAGCTAATAAGAACCTTTTTTTCACAAATTACTATTCTATTAAAGTCAAAATATTAGTAAGAAATACCCACAATGAAATTGCATAGTAGAAGTTCACTACTAAAAATTCGGTCAAAACCGACTGTGGCCAACCGACTGACTTCGGTCGATCAAAAAACCGATCGAAAAACCGACCGAAGTTGGTCGGTTTTCCAAAATATATATATATATNACCGAAATCAGTCGGTTTTTCATATAAATTAAATTAAAACTAATATTCAAAAAACTGACCGAAATCGGGCTGAGAAAGAAATGAGTTTAACTTAGATATGGTCTATTTAAGCTTATGTGGCATTATTGTTAGATTTTTTAATTAAATGTAATGTCATGTCATAATTTTTATTGGATATTTTATAGGTTTTGAACTAAAATGACTTTTAAGTTACAAAGGTAAAGTTGAGTGACTTTTAAGTGATGAAAAATAAATATGTGACTTTTGTAAAATAAATGATAAGTTAGATAACCTTCAGTGAAACTAATCCCGGTATTTGGTATGCACAATTGATATGCAAAATACCGAAGTACTGAACCGTAACCTATAAATACCGTACCGAAGTACCGAACGCCCACCCCTACTCATGAGCCAACATACCTTTCAGTCGAGGCACAAGTCCATAGATAAGGGCAAATGTCTACTGTATTTAGTGGACGTTTGGACATAAGAATTGTAAAATTTTGAAAAAAAAAGTAAAAAAAAATGTAAGTGAAAATGGTATTTGAAAATTAAAGTTGTGTTTGGACACGAATATAATTTTGGGTTGTTTTGAATTTGTGAGTGATCTGAAGTGAATTTTGAAAAATAACTTTTGGAGTTTTCAAATTTTCGAAAAATTCCGAAATTCATCTTCAAGTGAAATCGATAAAAAAGTGTAAAATTTTCGAAAAAAAAGAATCTGGGTTCTAATATGTCAAAAACTTTCCAATTTTAATGAACCTTGAGCAAACTATTGAGCTATGTTATTGTTGACTTACAATATTCCAATTAAAGTATCGAAACTTGTAGTACCAAAAAAAAAAATCAAACTTACCAAAGATGCCGACTGGAATCTGGAAAGCTGTTGAGGAATTGTGGATATCACGGGTCTATATCTCTGAACATTGTCGTAAAGTTCAAACAATGGCACAGCAAAAAACTTCAGATTTTTTGGGACTGCAAAGTACTCTTTTTCAGATAGATTAACAACAAAGAGCTTCTTACACTCCTTAGGTTTTGTTTTGATAGAGTGTATGCAGACTTACCTCCACCTTACGAAGAAAGAGAGGCTGCTTTCGATAGACCCTCGGCTCGGGCATATTATCTCATACCAGAATATAGACAAATCGTATTACTGTAGCTACAGGAACTTTAGAGCATATTCCTAAGATTAGAGCTACATATTGCAATCATGTTTGTTAGTTTTCTTTAGAGGAAATCTTCCACTGGGTTTGCAGTTTGGGACTATTACAATCCATCTTTTGGTCCAACTACAAAATTTATAAGCCTGTTGAAGACTATGCAACCATTACTCACCAAATTACTCAACCAGAAAATAAAGAGAAATACTCTTTCTTAACCAGCTACAGAAATATGCTTTATTTGAAATCTGTTTATCAGATATATCACAGAGACCAGAAGTGTACAGCTTATAAGAAATTGCCAAAAGTTAGAAAATAAATTCACATTGCCTGTGATTAAGTTCTGATGCAGTCGACAGCACACTTCTTTAAGCCCATTCCCACTTTACGCGCAATCTAGAAACTACTAAAGGGAAATGCTCATCCTATGGCAAGATCTGCTGGCGACATAGCAAAAGTTAACTTCAACATTTGGAAAAGGAAAGGGATGTTATTGATACATGTTTATCTAGAGAGATAGATAAACCGGTGACCAGAACCGGAAGTAGAAAGAATAAGATTCTTCTGCTGCAGTCTCTTCCATTGGCCACGCAAACACTTTAAAATGATAGGCTCAACCCTGATAGAGATGAATGACAATTTCTTAGGCACCACATAAGAATTTCATAGATCTCTTCAGGCAATTAGATCAAACACCTATTTCTGTATACCTTCATAAGAGCTAGCTTGTTAATGTTTTTTCAGGGCATTCATTTTATCCCTGAGGTAGTATAGCTTTGCCCTCCTCACTTTTTTCTTGTCCAGCACCTTCATCTCCTTTATGTTGGGCGAGTACCTGCAAATCATCGAGTCACTTACAACAGATTAGGAGTCCAATCTTGTTAATGCGCTGAAACCAAATCATGAAGCACCTCTGATAATTGCAACCGTAAGAGATACTCACATATTGGCAGGAATGTAGAGTCAATTATGCATAGCAAATATTTAGATGTAAATTGTGCAAGTTAAACATAACTTTCTAAATTTAAATGGAAATAAGGGGTGCAATATAAGTCTAATGAAAAAAAAAAGTGTAGAATGCTCAAAAAGGAGGAGAGGGGGTGGAGGCCTCACGCAGAGGCGAAGTCAGGATTTCAATTTTATGGGTTCTGCATTTTAGAACGATGACTTCAAGTACTAATAACTGGGTTCTACATTTAATATTTATAAATAATTAATGAAATTTATAACACAAATACACTTTGAGCAAAAGCTACTGGGCTCGGCCAAACCCGTACTCGGGCTCCTAGCTCCGTCCCATAGCCTCATGGTTCAAGCATTTCCCAAGAAGCAGAAGAGTTAAGTTAAACCCACTTCGACAAACACAAATAGGACGAAAAAAGAAGGATGATGAAACATACATAGGGAATAAAGTAAGAAAAATAACTGATGCTCCTTGCATGCTAACCCTTCTGGTAAAGGCCATACTAGCTCTGATCACCATTTACTACCACCCACATTTTTCAAATTTAGTTACGATATAACAGAAAGGACCATTATGGTTTCTTTTAAAGAAAATGTTTAGGCACCTAAATTACCAAATGTTAAGACACTCAACTGTGAAAGCTTCTCTCCTCTTGGGTCTCACCATCTCCTACAGAGCAAATGAAATCTCCAAATTAAACTCTCTCCAGGTAAAACTGACCCATCATGTTATCAACACTCCGTCCGCCGTCTACTTACCGTGACAGAGACAGATTGTAACTGGAATTGTGCCAAATAAAAGTCATTTTTACTGAAGTGCACAAAATAAAAATCAATTATAATATCAGCTAAGGATCATTCCATGATGCCATGCCAGCATCGATTATTATTAGAAAGCATCCCGCTTGTGAGTTCTCTACCATAACAGCTCTTACAGCAATAACTTCAATCAGGTTGAAGCATAGGATCACTGTCAAAACTTAGATTTGCTCAACAGTGCAATAACATAAGGAAAGAGCATCATAACCTAAACCTAGCAACTGCAGGCATTAAGTGACAACAAAAGAGCATTCATTTAAGAATGTGACAAACACACAAACAAGCGGATGAGGACTTACAGATGAAATAGGTTTTCAACCCCAACTCCAGCCACAAGTCTTCTTAATCTGAATGTAGTATTTAAACCTGCATTGCGCCTTGCTATCACTATGCCTTTGACAATTGAAACACGTCTCTTGTTCTCCGGCACTTCCTGCAATATAGCCATCACCATACCACCAGCAGAACATCAGTTTTCCTTTTTCTTTTTCCTAAGTAATATACTTTTTTTAAACAGAAGGAGCAAGCACACATGAAAACTATATGCAGGACTTTCTTTCTAGAAAATCAGTCCAACATACTATGCATGTTGGAGGACCATTTGGTCAATTCTGGTTGTTAAATAGGAATTGAAAAATAAGACATGATCCATTTTAACAGAAGCTTCTGTACCACTTTGAGCTGGACAATATAACCAGGCTTTATATCAGGTATCGGACTCCGTGCCTTTACTTCTTCAACAGCCTCTTTGTCAAGAATCTACATCGTAATAGAAATAGGACATTCATTAGACATTGAGGATATCTGAAGTCTCTTAAATTTTAACAAAAAGGGAAAAAGAAGGGCAAGAAAATAAACCAAAGAGACAAAGGAAACTATAATTTTTTTGGAAAAGGCCATATCTTCTATTGTACCTGCATTATATGTGCTGCTGTTTTATCAAGCCTCTTAAATTTGATACGTGGAGTTGCCAAACAAGAAGAAGCATCTTCAGGAACTTTGTCAACTGAAGTAGCACCCGTTGTGAGGAACCTCCTAGGGAAGTTTGGGACCATGGTAGTGTCTTGTGCTAAACATGATCTAGAAAACTTGTAAGGTGATGCCAATGACTCTTGGGAGTAATGCTTAGAGTGAACAGACAAGTTCAATCTAGACTCGAAGTTCTGACAGAGGTTGCAATTTCAACAAATTAGTTATCAGAAGACAAAAATATTAATTTTATATAATGCTAAAGCAGTATTGCTTCATGCCTGCACAGAAAAGAACCACCATAACATGTAATATATTCCTTCCATTCAAATTTGACAATGCAAAAGGCATGCAGGTCCGTATTCCATAAACCACAACATGCCCTTATAGAGCTTAGTGGCAATGTACACAACATATATACAGCTTGAAATCATTTCATCTAGAATATACTGAGATTCAAGCATGACTGCATGTGCACATATGGAGCTTAGGAACATTCTAGCACAGCTCATACAGCTTTCAACCAATTCACATCGTCATTAAATCATAGGTACTTACTTAACAGACTCCAAAATTAAACGAAAACACCTTTTTGTCAATAATATCAAAAAGGAATTATCAAGACAATAAATATAACTACAGTATGCTGGAACAAATAAGAACAGGGTTTTACGGCCTCAGAAAAAGATCTGGTTGGCAACTCTGAAGCTCTCTTGGTTCTCTTGGCTTGATGCAGCACTCTAAAGAAGTGCCCCACCTTGTTTTGCATTGCCGGGTTACAAGGCAGTTATGGGACATGTTTTGGAAATATTTGGCATGTGTGGACCATACCAAGCTCAATTTTAGTGTTTGTAGCAATGCTGGAATAGAGAGGGGCTATGCAAGAAATCTTAAAACAATATACCTCAGGCCATTTGGTGGACTGTTTGGCTTGAAATAAATAGCAAATATTGTTTAAAGCAATAGAAGAAATATACATAGCCTTAAACATAGATGTATTTTTTTGCTAGCTTTTTGGTGCAACCCATTTATTGTATATGATGTAGATGCAATCACGCAGTGATAGAAACAATAGGAGACTGCACAAATTCGTAATTATGCTTGATGCACTGGTTTAGTGCAAGTATTGATAAAATCTCAGTATTACTTATTAAACAAAAATGATAGATATCTCTTGTATGTCAGTCATTCACATTTGGGAAGATACTAACAATCAAATACAAGTAACAAGCAGACATCATTCAAGATTTTCTTCCACAACACACGCCATACGCCCAACACATTGTTCATTGTAATCTAATAGTCAATATAGAAAAAAATTAGGAAGATGAGAGTGATAAGAACTTACTCCTAGCTCGACTTCCTTCTTTGTAGAAGCATTACCTGATTTACAAAATCCAAATAAAAGAATTTTAACTCATTAGCATCCAATATAAAATCAATACATACAACCTCAAAACGAAAAATACAAAATCAGAGACAATCCAGGATTTTATGTCTCCACGCGCGCGCGCGTACGCGCGTATTCAACTATAGTTCAAATGAATGACAGTGAGGTAAAGATGTGAACAATACTAGCGTACCAAAATCAGAGTTAAAATGCCGAAGATACAGAGCAACGGAGGGACGAAAGATCTCCGAAATTGGAGATGAAGACGAAACAGAAGCAGTGACGAAAAGGTTGCATTTTGGAGAGGACAGAGATGGGGTTAGCGTTCGGAGCTGCGAAGAGAGTCTTCTCCACATTTCTTCTACACTCTAACGCTTCTAGGGTTTCCGAGAGGTAACGGAATTGGAATACAGAGTTGTGTGCGATTGCCGCCGGTAGAGCGGCGGAGTATGGTGGTGTTTGCTGAAACTGAAAGCGTCTGTGTAGGTTCAGAAGCAATAGCAATTTGGGGTTTAACACGAATATTTTGTTAAAAGAGTTTCTCAAAAATAAATCAAAAACTTTTCTCGGAAATTATATTTTTATAGACTAATTTTCAATAATTAAATACTAATCCAAATGCGGGTATAATGGTGTTTTCACAACACTAGTTGATTACGGTAAATTTCACAAATGTTTATATAACTATGATGTTTTTTCACTAAAGTAATATAACTTTATTTTCTCACACAAAAATCGTATAACTATGACTTTTTTTTCACCAAAGTCATATAATTATATTTTCGCACACAAAAATCATAAAATTTTTATTAACTCACATAAAAATCATAGTGATCGAAAAATATAATTTTTTCTTATTTTGTGATTTTTATTTTTTATTTTCAGTCTAATAAATAATAATTCAATTAAAATAGGAATGACTCAACACGGCCTTATCAAGATTTTTATTCAAATTGATAGCATTTTTATTTCAAGTGCTCTCTAATTATACCTTTTATTTCTTTAGTATTTTTTTGACAGAATGTCATGCATTCCGAACTACGTTTTTTATGAGGGGGGGGGAGGGGGAGAATTCACATTTTATATTATTTTAGCTTGCGTATATGGTTATTGGGTCAGGCTGGGTTGAGTCATTCTTATTTTAAGGGGAAAATATAAAATTAACCGACTGGTCGAAACTAATTGCATTTGCTAGCCAAAATATATATAGATTATGTATGTTATATGTATATAATATACACATATATAAAAAAAATATTTTATTGGCTATTATTTTTGGGAGGCTAAAAATATACTCATATTTCTCCTATTTTAATTGGATAATTATTTATTAGACTAAAAATAAAAAATAATAAAACGTAAAATACGAAAATAGTACCGGAAAATTTATTTTCCGACCACTATGATTTTTATGTGAGTTAGTGAAAGTTCTATGATTTTTGTGTGAGAAAATAAATTTATATGACTTTTGTGGGGAAAAAATCATAGTTATATGAATTTTGTGTGAGAAAACAAAGTTATATGACTTTGGTGAAAAAAATTATAATTATATGACCATTTATGAAATTTACCCTTGATTAGGGGTCATTTATTTTGTGGATTAGTTAAAATAAAATAGAATTTTCTCCTACAAGAATTGGATACTATTTTATCATCTAATTTTGCTTTAAAAATCAAACTAATCCCTCCAAGTTTGAACAATAGACGTTCTTATCCTTCTATTTCAATTGAATTTTTTCAACTACTTTACCCTCTAGATTATCAATATTTATCTTCTTCTTTTTTTACTTTTTTACTTTTTCTTCTAATATCATGATATTTTTCTCCTTTTTTGTAATTATGCCATGGCCTTACCTATGAAAAAATAATGTTTGTTTTTGAAAAAATACTAGCTATGTCCATTTATAAGTAGCTTATTACAAAAATTAGTCAATTCATAAAATATTACTAATATTAGCCAATTAGCTATTTGTAGTCAAAAAGGTCGAGTTTTTGCTTTCTTTTGAGTGGATATTATTAGAATAGATTAGGTACATCTTAAGGAGCTTGAATCTCAGTTTTGGGATGATTTGGTGGAGTTTTGAGGTGGTTTGAGTTGAAAATTCGAAGTAGAAGATGAACATGAAAAAAATGATAGGTGTATCACATGTGTATCATATTTGTATTAAATGTGTATCACATGTATATCCATGTATACCTTCGTGTGAGATACATGCGTGATACATGTGTAGCAGAAGGATTTTTTGAACTCGATTTTAACTACGAATTTGGATACAAAACTAGTCCAAATCACCTCCAATCTTTCTCAAATTTTGTATATTGACTCGTTTATATGTTTTCAATGAATCTCAATCATACCCATTGAAAAAAGTTCTTTTTTGCTTAAATTTTTGGAATCTTGTATATATAAATTTTTTTTGTATTTCATCACCTTATTTGTTACCTCATCCATGAAATTTTCTTTTTGTCTTGCATCTAATGTTGCTAATCACGCTTAAAAATACAGAATGAGATATTTGTGTGTGTTTCTTGGAGAGAAAGAACCTTATTTCTTTGGATTTTTAATTTTTATATGTGTTTGGCTAGTTTTGGTAAGTTTATGATTAATGGCAATATGTTGGTAAGTTAGGACTTTTTGGTACATTTATGTAAGATTCCTATTTTTTTCTGAAACGAGAAAGTGAAAAATAAGAATAAAGCATACAAGTTAATATGGGTGGGCGTTCGGGCAGTTCGGATTGAATATGAAAATTTTCGTTTGAATATTCGATTTCTAGATTAAATAAATGACAATCCAAATCCAATCCAAATAAGCTTGGATTGGATCGAATTTTTTAAGTTCGGTTTTGGATTAATCAGTTTGGATATTTCAGATTTTCGATTTTGAGCCTATAAGTTTATATGTTTCTTTCTCTTACAAAAATGAACATCCAAATAAATTATACATGTTAAATTATCCAAAAAGCTACTCATTCTTACTGCAATCATTCAAATAAAGTATTCAAATAATGAAATCATTATCAAAGAAATACAACAAAGACATTAATAAGACCGATAAGAAGTAGCAATCATAAAATTATGTCCAAATAGAAAGTATTCTGACAGTAACTTAGTAATTAGTATTGAATATACGAGTTTGTCAAATGGGTAGGGTATTGGATTTATTACTATTGGCATATGGATAATGGACTACATATAAAGTATAAAAATTTCAGATTCCTGGATAGAGTTTTTTTTACACGCTTGGTCCTTTTAAAACTATTATTTTAAAAAATAGCATCATTTATTGTTTATTCCATAAAGAGTATTTTTGTTTTTTTATTATTAGCATATTATAAAAATTTAACTCAATATTTAGTAAGTTAACTGACTCACTAATCACAGGAAGTACTTTTTTTTGTCTATCTCCATTCTCCCTTTCCAACATTCATTTTTTTCCCACTATTTTTTGAAAATCTGATGTATACGTGAATACCACCTAAATTCAAGATGTATTGATTTATACGTCTTTTATACTTTGTATATCAAGTATCACTTTAATTCAAAATATATTTTTATGTATATAATTTTTGTATATTTATTTGTGAAGTGCCATCTTATTTTAAGATGTATTTTTAATGTATATTTCAAATATATTTTATATGTCAAGTGCAGTTTTAATTCAGGATGTATTTTTTATGTATATTTTTTTGTATATTTATATGTCATCTTAATTAAATTTAAGATATATATTTTTATGTATATTTCACATGTCTAAGTGTCATCTTAATTGAAGATGTATTTTTTATGTATATTTTTTGTATATTTTATATGTGTTAATTCAATGTATATTTTTTTATATATACATTTTGTATATATTAATATATATTATTATTGAAGTAAGATCTTTATGTTAAGAAATGAAGAAAGAAGGAAGAGAAAAACTTAAGAAAGATAATTGAGATGACAACCAATGGAACAAATTTAGAAAATATATTGGTTTCGGCAGAAAATAAAATTAAGAAGATGAAGAAAAAAGAAGGAAAGCTAATAGATAAAGGGGGAAAAGCATGATTTTTGTACAAAGAATTATTGACTTTCCATTTAAATTGTTTATGTTTACGGATTAATAATCAATATTCCTATTTTAATGAAACTGCGTGCTACAAATATAAATATTTTCCTGCCACAACTATAATATTGGGTTTCATGCTAAGAATTTGTTATATTTCTTTTAAATTGTGACAGTTATGTAAAGTTCCCTTTTGGATATCCATAAATCTGAAGTACCAAATTCAATATCCAATCCGAAATCCAAACAATTTAAAAATTAAATCCGAAATCTAAAAATCTTAAAAAATCGAATTTCGGTTTGAATTTCGGGTTTGCCCAAACTACGCCCACTCCTACAAGCTATTAGCATTGAATAATGAAGAAATTATCAAAATAAAATAATCTTCTCATATCAGTTATTTTATTGAAAGCAAACGAAACGCAAAAATCTATTTATACAATTGAATATAATACTCTTAGCGATTAAATATTGCCAAAATACAAAGAGAATTGGACCGGAGAGAAAGGAACAACGTGCTTCTTCCATTAATATAAAAGAGTATATATACAAGTTAACAACTAGCCCTAAAATCCCTAACAAATATAGAAAAGATTACAACATATCCTAGTTTTTTTAGTTTAATGCAGACACTAAATATTTACATTGTCTTGTATTTTGCGACTCGCACAGCGGTTATGCGAGTCGCACATCAATTCTAGCAAATTTCTCCAGAAAACTGGCAGGTTCTTGTCACGACCCAATTTCACCTATAGGCCGTGATAACGCCCAACACCACAGCTAGGCAAGCCAACTAGAAATTTAAACTCATATTCAATTTTTTAAATTTTAACCGAGTAATTAAACTCTTCTTAATTGTAGGAATTTAGTAAATTAAAACAACCAAGAACAAAATTTAAATCCAAATATTCTACTAGTGTGTGTCAAGACCTGGTGTCACAAATGTATGAGTATCTAGTAGATTATACAAAACTTCAAATACTGTCTGAAATAAAAATAGACAGAATAAAAATGCAAGAAGAGGCATTGGTAGCTGCAGAACGGCTCAGAAAAGCAACTCACCACTACGCCTCTGGATAACGTGAATGTGCGATGATAGGTCCTCCACTAGTACCTGCCTCAGATCCTGCACAAAAAGTGCAGCAAGTGTAGCATGAGTACGTAAACAACGTGTATTCACTAAGTATCAAGCTAATCTCGAAGTGGTAGAGACGAGATGACCGACTTTGACACTCGCTATGGGTCAATAATAATAATTGAAATAAAACTAGAATATCTAAATCAATATGATTCACAGAGTTAACAATAATTTATTTAACCAATGCAATAATTCTCAATATATTAATTAAATTCCTTCAATTCCAATAAATTTTCAACTTATCAATTAGCCTCATTTACAGGAATAACAATAATTCCT